TTGAAGGCTATTTTGAGGAGTTTTTTCTTCCTTTTGAGGCTGAGTGATCTTGGGACGCTGAACCCGTTTTCCAACAGGTTTTTCTTGGAACACCGGGTAGAATTGTGAGGTCCCCGACCTCGAACACTTTTGCTTGGAAATACAAAGCGAAAACTTTTCAAAAAAAATAAAAAACTAAAATAATTATTTACCAAATTTGAAATAAAAATCAAACACTAAAAATAAATAATAATAATAAAAATTAAAAAAAATAAAACGAGAATGAAATTATTGATTGGGCGAGCACGTTTTTGACACTGCCATCTTCGGCGATTTTTTATTTTATTTTGGTTATGACAAATGCCATGAAAAGTTTTATATGTGTATCTTACATAATAGAGAATCTACAAATAAAGTTTGAAAAAATAATAATTTTTTTCATGCCCCAAAATAAAGGAAAAACAAAAAGTGAAAAAGAGAAAAAACAAATTAGTGAGTGGGCAAGCAAGTTTTGACACCACCATCTTTGCCGATTTTTCATTTTGTTTTAGCTGAACAGAATGGCTTCAAAACTTAGGTGGAGATACCTTGCATCACAAAGAACACATACACAAAAATTCAAAAACAACTATTAATATTTACGTTCCAAAATAATTTTTTGCGGGGTCCGAACCCCTTTAGGTTCGGGCCCCGTACGGGGGACCCGAACGCCCGAACGTTCGGGGGTCAGCTTAGGGGCCTCCGTACTCGGCCTGGCTATATATATATACATATATATATATATACATATACAGCCCCTCGTTTGTTGTCCTCTTCTCTCTCTCTGCCTACGGTTTACCGGACAGTTCTGTTTGTGACGATATATATGTACATATATATATATATGTACATATATATATATATATATATATACGTATATATATATATATATACATATATATATACATATATATATACATATATACAAAAAGAGAGAGGGAGAGAGATCTATATAGATATATCTATTTATCTATCTATCTATATATATACAAGGTTGCCGGCGTTCGGGATGGGCTGAATGCCCGAAACCGAACGCCCGAACGTTCGGCACCCCTCTCGATGCGTTCGGCCGTTCGGCCGAACGTGGACCCCCCCCCCCAAAAAAAAAAAAAAAAAAAAAAATCAAAATATCTAAAAAATATATATGTTATGCAAAAGAATAAACTAAACAACATTTGCCTTAATGTTATATCCAAATTCGTTACCAAATTTGAAATAAAAATCAAAAGTACTAAAAATAAACAATAATAATAAATATTAAAAAAAATAGAACGAGAACGAAATTATTGAGTGGGCGAGCACGTTTTTGGCACCGCCATCTTTGGCGATTTTTCATTTTGTTTTGGCTGTGACAAATGCCATGAAAAGTTTTATACGTTTATCTTACATAATAAAGAATCTACAAATAAAGTTTGAAAAAATAATAATTTTTTTCATGCCCCGAAATCAAGGAGAAACAAAAAGTGAAAAGAAAAAAAAAAACAAATTAGTGAGTCGGCAAGCAAGTTTTGACACCACCATCTTTGCCGATTTTTCATTTTGGTTTGGCTAAACAGAACGGCTTCACAATAAAGAGGGAGATACCTCACATCACAAAGAACTCACAAAAAAACAAATCTGAAAAACATGATAAGATTTAGGTGCCCAAATAATTTTTGGCGGGGTCCGAATGGGGACCCGAACGCCCGAACGTTCGGGGGTCAGCTTAGGGGCCTTCGTACGTTCGGCCTGACAACCCTGTATATATATAAATATATATAACTGGGTACCACAACGTACGTGTACGTGGGGGGTGCGTACACGCATACACATATTCCAGTACGTGACATGTACGCTCGTACACGTACTTCCGTACGTGGGAATACGTAAAAAAAAAAAAAAAATCATCAAAAATATTTGAAAATAAAGTGTGTTATGCAAAATTTTATTTCAAATAATATTCGCCCGAGACTTATCTCAAAATTTTGTACCAAACTCGAGTTAAAAATGAAAGACAAAAAAATCAAATAAATTGAGATAATTAAAAAAAACAACTAAAAATAAATGGACAACATAAAAACTAACTTTTGTAACAAATATATGTTATACAGAAACATGATACAAACAACTTTTGTCCAGGAATCATCTCCGAATTCCAAACCAATATCGAGTAAGAAATTAAAAACTAAAAAAAAGTTAATATTATCATAATAGTTGGAAAACTATTTATATATTTATATATATACAGGGTCACGTGCACATACGTACGTAGGTCCACGGAAATACCTCTGTACGTACGGGCGTTTGGGGTCCCGTACGGGGTCCGAACCCGACGGCGTTCGACCCCCGCCAAAAATTATTCCAGGACCTAAAACAACTGTTTTTTTCTAAGTTGTTTTTTGTGAGTTCTCTATGACGTGAGGTACATGCCTATAAATGTTCAAGTCATTTGGCTCAGCCAAACAAGAATTAAAAATCGCCAAAGATGGYGGTGTCAAAACGTGCTCGCCCACGTTGTTTTTCACTTTTTACTTTTTGTTTTAACTTTATTTCGGTGTCAAAATTATTTTATTATTTTTAAACATTTTTGAGTGGGTTTTACATTATGTGAAGTACACATCTGTAAATTTTCAGGGCATTTAGCTATGCCAAAAAAAAAAATGAAAAATCGCCACAGATGGCGGTGTTGAAAACGTGCTCGCGCACTCAATAAAAACCCACTAAAAAAGTTTCAAAAAATAATAAAATTGTTTAGACCCCAAACTAAAGTGAAAACAAAAAGTAAAAAGCGAAAAAATGCTTGGGCGAGCACGTTTTGACACCTCCATCTTTGGCGATTTTTAATCTGAATTTAGCTTAGCCAAATGACGTGAAAATTTACAGGCATGTACCGCACGTTATAGAGAACTCACAGAAAAACATTCAGAAAAAAATAATTATTTTTAGGCCCCGAAATAATGTTTGGCGGGGGCCGAACGTCGTCGGGTTTGGACCCCGTACGGGACCCCGAACACCCGTATGTACGAAGGTCTGCCCGGGGACCTCCGTACGTACGGGCTGGTGACCCTATATATATATATATATGTACAGGGTAACCGGCGTTCGGGACGGGCCGAACGCCCTCACCCGAACGCCCGAACGTACGGGACCCCTCGGGGATGCGTTCGGCCGTTCGGGCCGAACGCGGACCCAAGGAAAAAAAAAAAAAAAAAACAAATCATTAACAAAATCTGAAAAAAAGATATGTTATGGAGAAAAATAAATAAAACAAGATTTGCCCGAGCATTACGTCCGAATTCCTTACCAAATTTGAAATAAAAATAAAATACACAGAACAAATACTAATAATAAAAATAAATAAAAATAAAAAAAGAATTAAATTTAGTGAGTCCGTTAGCATGTTTTCGACACCGCCATCTTTGGCGATTTTTTTTTTTTTTTTTGGCATAGCTAAATGTCTTGAAAATTTACAGATGTGTACTTCACATAATACAAAACCCACTAAAAAAAATTCAAAAAATAATAAAATTATGTAGACCCCGAACTAAAGTGAAAACAAAATGTAAAAAGTGAAAAAAAACGTGGGCGAACACGTTTTGACACCGCCATCTTTGACGATTTTTAATTCTTATGTGGATAAGCCAAATGACTTGAAAATTGATAGGCATGTACCTCACGTCATAAAGAACTCATAAAACAAATTCAGAAAAAACAAAAAAATTTTAGGCCCCGAAATAATTTTTGGCGGGGGCCGAACGCCGTCGGTTTCGGGCCCCGTATGGGACCCCGAACGCCCGAACGTAAGGAGGTCCGCCTGGGGGCCTCCGTACGTACGGGCTGGTAACCCTGTTTATATATATACAGGGTTGCCGGGGTTCGGGACGGCCCGAACGCCCGAACCCGAACGCTGGAACGTACGGGACCCCTTCGGAAGGCGTTCGGCCGGCCGTTCAGGCCGAACGCGGACCAAAAAAAAAAAAACAAAAAAAAAATGAAGTTTTCCAAAAATTCCGAAACAAAGAAATGTTATGGAGAAAAATAAACTAAACAACATTTGCCTGGGCACTATATCCAAATTCTTTATTAAATTTGAATTAAAAATCAAATGCAGAACATAAACACTATGATAAAAATAAGAAAAAATCAAAAGAGAATTAAAATGAGTGAGTGTGCCAACACCTTTTCGACACCGCCATCTTTGCCGATTTTTATTATTTTTTGGCATTGACAAATGCCCTGAAAATTTACAGATAGGTAGTTTACATAATCAATAACTCAGTGATTTGTTTTCAAAAAATAATAAAATTTGTTAGGCCCTGAAATAACTGAGTAAGGTCGATCAGGGTAAACCATTTGAGTGTAGTTGTGGTAGGCTTGAACAGGGTGAGGGAACTTTTGTCGTATCTGAACCAGTGTGGGCCTACTTTTTGGACTGTCGCTTCCCTTCGGTTGGTGTGGGGTGCTATGCTGAGGTTAGTTGACGTCGAATGGCGTTCGGGACCCTTCGGCTGACAATCTAGTGGCCTGGGTTTTTCATGGTACTAATCTAGACTATAGCATTAACAAGGCTGTGCGCCAAATATAATTTTGGTTCAGTCCCAACTATTAATAGGTAGACGTAGGTATAGTTTGACCTCTCAGGGTCCGCGGTTGAGCAGTCTATTGTGTGACAGTGGACTGCGAACCGCGGTTGGATAGTGGATTGAAGGAGGTTCCTGGGTTTGTTGGTTTGAATACAGTGGACATGTTACTTGTTCTATTCTCGTCTACTTCGTCACTACGGTGACGCTGTGTGTGTCACACCTGCACTTGTGTTTTGCACTTGTGTGATTGTTGACATCGGCACCTGTGTTGTACCTTCACAACTCATTACCGCACACGTGAACTTACTTGGGGAAGCTTACCGAGTTAAAGTGAGCGTGGTTGTTCTGGCTGGTTAATGTTTTCGGAGAAGTGTGTACTACGGATCTACGTTATCACTTGTGAGGAGTTGAGATAAGGAAGCGGTGGAGTATTTTGGAGAGAGGTGACACCCCGAAAAAGTGGTGGGGGGTACGTGAGGAAGCGATGTCGTGGTCTGAAAGGAGAGAAGATAATAGGGAGTCTGGGAGTGGTGACCGTAGGACACCGACCTGCTTCAACTGTCACGAACCTGGGCACTATGCTAAGCAGTGCCCAAACCGTGACAGGTACCACCACTCGAACCGACCATCGACATCGAGTGATTCCAGGAGGTCGAGATCCCCGCGAAGGTACGAGCCGAAGAGATATTACTCGCCACCGAGAAGAGAGGCTGAGCTACGCGAGAAGTTGGTTGAGCTACCTCAAGGTTTGGCTACCATGAAGGAGCACATCGATGCTGAGAGAACTAAGAAAGAAGAGAAATCGAGAAGGAAGTTGGAGAAAGCTCGGGAAAAGGAGGAAGAGATGCGCAGGCTGGAGGAAGAAGAAGCTCGAAGACTGGAAGAGGAAATGCGACGAGAGGCGAGGAAGCTAAAGAAACAGGAGAAAGCGAAGAAGGAAGCCATCTTACGTGCAGAAATGAAGAAGGACGCGACGCTACATGCGGCGCTGATGATGAACGAGATAAAAGACGATTGGATTAGCGAATGGAAAACCTCGGTGTTGCCGACCCTCATAGCCGGGGTGAAGGATGTGAAAGGCAAGAAGAATATTGACTGTCCCTCGAAGGAGGACAGTCTGTCGGACTACAGTGATGAAGGTAGCGAGACGAGTGTTATGCAGGAGTTGAGTGAAAAGACGGGGAAGCTATGCATTACTGAGAAACGTAAGAGGGAAGAGGGCGTGGGGATTGGAGACAACCCACCGATGGAACTTCCTCCCAAAAGGACTCCGTGAAAGTGCGGGGTCAAACCAATAGGACTGGGCGAAAGAATGACAAGGTCGAAGGCTAGGAGGACAAAAGTCCGCACGCCAATCCGTGTGTGTAAGAAGACGCCAATAAAGACACCACTTGCCAAAGTGACGGGGTCAGCAAAGAAAAAATCATCACCAAGCGGTCGCCTCACCCCTGCGAGTAAAGCCTTGGCAAGATTGCGTTACCGTGATGCTGTGATGAGAGAGTTGAAAGACTGCGGTGCCGATGAGCTGCAGCGTATTTGCAGGGAAGAAGGTTTACATTATGAGGGGAAGATTGATGCGATCCTCGACATTGCAGAGTGCCCCTCCAGATGCCAGTTCCCGGAAACAGACGTGAAGGTTGAGGTTATCCCGATCTCGGATTCTGTCGGTACTGGACCTGACAAGGCACCCGAACAGGTGTGATGTGGAATGGATCCGGCAAACTGGTGGGACGTCTGCAGATATATCACTAGTCTTCGATGTAATTCCACTGTTGTGAACCGTAAGTTGGAGCACCTACTGCGCCTGATAGTTGTGCTTTTAGCACTATCGAATCAGGTGAAATGGTTTAGCAGGTATGTTAAYCGATGACTCTATATGTATGAGACRCATGAAATCGACTTTYTGAAATTGAGTASTGTGGTGTATGTAGCAGTATCGCYGTAYTGTAGGCTGTGTTATGTCGGAAAGACCACACGAGAYTGCACTACTCGTTGGCRAGAGCACCTGTACGCAGTTCGTAATCGTACGCAATCACACTTTCATAGATGGATTGCATCTTTTGGGCTTGGTAACTACGTGTTAGTTCCTGTGGATATTTTTGAGGGCAAARATTTGGAAAGATTGGAAGAACTGTATATTAGTAGATGGTCACCATTCCTCAACACTTCGGGCGTAAAAAGGGTATCCAAGAAGTCGAGGAAACGGAAGCAGGGGAGGAGGGAAAGGTTTCGAGAAAAGGGAGCTAAGTGTGACAAGCAACCTGCTGTTCGGATTACTCCGATTCATTTTCACCAAGTGTCTAATGATTCGGAGTTCTTACTTCTCCACTCTTTCTTGGATAAGACCTTAGAGTCTGGAAATCAACGCTGCTTGATACGAACGGACGGTGGACATGATTGGACACCGAAATGGAAAACAATGGCAAAATTGTTCGGGGAAAGTAAAATTAAATGCTCGTCTGGCACACTGGCCCTAAAGGATTGTAAGTGTCTGTTTGAAAAGGAAGGGATTTTTGAGGTGCTTTTTGTCGTGAAATGGAAGTCGAGATACAAGTATTTGAAGAATGTGTTGGTTGGTCTGCGCAACCCAAGGAAGTTGCGTGAGTTGTATAAATGGAATATAGAAGCACTGCTCCGCATCTATCGGGTCATTAAAGACTTTTCCAAAAATTCGACGAGGAAGTACTTACGAAGACTTGTGTCTCAATGTTTTCTGGATAGATTTGGGTTGTGTTTAACTGCAAACCTTACCTTTCGGATTAAGTTTGATGATAGAATTGTTTTTTCTGAAGTTAGGAAAGTAGCCAATGATACGTTAATGTTGTGTGACTTGCCACAGTGTTTCAAGCTCCGAGCGAGAAGGAAAATTCGCATCGTGGGAACAAAAAATCCTACGGTTGCCGATTTGCTGCACAACCATCGTAGTTACTCTACACGTGGTGTGCTCACCTGTTGTTGCACAGGGTTGGATTTTCCACGCGTGAATGAGCATGTTCTGTTTCGATTGAGCGAGGTAGCTGATATGCACCCGTTACTTTCGAACGCAAACAATATACCGAGGGCAAAAGAAGTCGACAAGCTTGACTTGCTTCGTAAGGAACTGATAACAGGTTTCCAAAACTGGAAGAACTTGAATGGCCAGGTACCGGATCTTTCGAACTGGGATCTTTCTCACTGTATGTCTTCGAGCAGTGATGGCACAACATTTCTTTCCTTGGATGAGGTTGCAGCTGCTAAAACTCGTCTGAAAGACTTAGTCGTGTCCGCAGTCGATCGGAACTTGGGAGAATCCGTGGCTATGTGTCCAGCAGTGTATTTCGAAGCCATGATGAACACTTTCGTTTGTAACACAGGTTAACGGGTAGTGGGCCACTCGAAAACTCAGGTGATGAGGGAGATCAGGGAGGATGTCTGTTGCCTTGAATTAGAAAAGTTTGTGAACTGGGATCCGAAAGGAAAATTTGGGTCAGCTTATGTGATTCCTAAACAGAAGGATTTGGGCCGATATCGACCCATCTGTCCTTCGTTTAGCGAAGCAATGGTACGAACGGCACGTATTGTGGCCAAGGGACTGAATCATCTGCTCTATGCTTTACCCAAAAACTGGCATTTTAACCTCCATGCAGTATCTGAGTTGAGCACCAGGATGGAGGGGATTAATCGAAGATTGGGGAAATTGGGAAGTGATCATGTGGTGACTTCCTACTTCTTTGATATTAAGGAGATGTTTAGCAAACTACCACATGATGACATTCTCAGGGCAATTGATTGGGTCATCGACCATCATGAAAGGAATGACCATGAATTTGTACGAGTAAATACTCGTGGGAAGGGATCTTCCTTTGGTGTTACGACAGGAGCGGACCACTGGAAACGACGGTACCTAAAGGATATCCAAAAGTTTGTTCGATTGGAGATTGGGCATACTTACTTTTTCGCCAAAGGTGTCCTACTTAAACAAGAGTTAGGAGTGCCTATGGGAAAAAGCATGAGCCCGCCTATCGCGTGCATCATGTGCGCATATTCGGAGTATCGACTGATTTGCACATTGGGCCGTAGGTGCCGTTATATGGGTGCCATACGTTTGATTGATGATGTGCTTTTGGCCATCTCAAGTAAGAGTGAGTCCTGCAGAACAGTGATTTTGGATTCATTTGCTAACTGCTATCCGAGGAATTTGATTATGAAACGGACTGATGATGGCTCTGGCACTTTGGACTTCCTCGGTTGCCAGATTCGCACATCACATACATATCCGTTCCTTGGATGCATCCAGATGTCTAGGAATGAGGACAAAGTTTGGACAACATAAGAACTACAGATCCAGAATGGACAGTCATACTACTCCTGGGGTAGTAAGAAGCATAAAAGTGCCGTTATCATGAGCTATCTACATCGGATAGATCGAAACATATCAATCCGATCGGAGATCCCGGGGAAAGTACTTGGACTGCAACATGAATTGTCCAAGAAGGATTACCCCATGAAATTTGTTAATCGGGTTTTTCGGAGATTCGCAAGTCAGCGTGACAAACTGTGGCAACGAACAATTGCATTTGTATGCGGGAATGAGTAGTAAGCCTGTGAGTATGAGGTATGGAATAGTCGGATGGGGGTGTATTTCGCGGCGAGTAGTTTGACAAATGGGAGTTTGAGCAATTTGAATGTTTTAAGTGGGAATACTGTTGTCGATCTTGCTATTTACTGGATTTCAACAGGGTTGTTGGCCTGAGGATGTAAGCCCGAACAGGGTAGTCTTAAGTTGGGTCTGCAAAGTAGGCCTGCTTTTCTCGAACCGGGCCGGATTCAGTACGGCCGATCAGGGTAAACCATTTGAGTGTAGTTGTGGTAGGCTTGAACAGGTTGAGGGAACTTTTGTCGTATCTGAACCAGTGTGGGCCTACTTTTTGGACTGCCGCTTCCCTTCGGTTGGTATGGGGTGCTATGCTGAGGTTAGTTGACGTCGAATGGCGTTCGGGACCCTTCGGCTGACAATCTAGTAGCCTTGGTTTTTCATGGTACTAATCTAGACTATAGCAGCAACAAGGTTGTGCGGCAGATACAATTTTGGTTCCGTCCCAACTATTAATAGGTAGACGTAGGTATAGTTCAACCTCTCAGGGTCCGCGGTCGAGCAGTTTATTGTGATGACAGTGGACTGCGAACCGCGGTTGGATAGTGGATTGAAGGAGTTCCTGGGTTTGTTGGTTTCAATACAGTGGACCTGTTACTTGTTCTATTCTCGTCTACTTCATCACTACGGTGACGCTGTGTGTGTCACACCTGCACTTGTGTTTTGCACTTGTGTGATTGTTGACATCTGCACCTGTGTTGTACCTTCACAACACAACCCGAAATAAAGTGAAAAAAAACAAAATAGTGAGTGGGCTAGCACGTTTTGACACCCCCATCTTTGACGATTTTTAATGTTTTTTTGGCTTAGCAGAATGAATTCAAAATTTATGGGCGTGTAGGTTACATTATACAGAACTTGCAAAAAACAATTCAGAAAACAAAACTTATTTTTAGGCCCCGAAAACATTTCTGGCGGGGGCCGAACCTGAAGGTGTTCGGTCCCCGAACGGGACCCCGAACGCCCGAACGTTCGGGGGCCAGCCCGGGGGCTCCCGAACGTTCGGTCAGGTAACCCTGTATATATATATATATATATATATATATATATATATATATATACCAGCCCATACGTACGGAGGTCCCCGGGCAGACCTCCATACGTACGGGCGTTCGGGGTCCRTACGGGGTCCGAACCCGACGGCGTTCGGCCCCCGCCAAAACTTATTTTGGGGCTTCAAAATACTTATTTTTTTCTGATTTGTTTTTTGTGAGTTCTCTATGACCTGAGGTACATGCCTGCAAATTTTCGAGTCATCTGGCTAAGCCAAATAAGAATTACAAATCGTCAAAGATGGCGGTGTCAAAACGTGCTCGCCCACGTATTTTTTCACTTTTTACTTTTTGTTTTCACTTTAGTTAGGGGTCTAAACACTTTTATTATTTTTTGAAACTTTTTTAGTGGGTTTTGTATTATGTGAAGTATACATCCGTCAATTTTCAGGGCATTTAGCTATGCCCCAAAAAAATGAAAAATCGCCAAAGATGGCGGTGTCGAAAACATGCTCGTGCACTCACTAAATTTAATTCTCTTTTTATTTTTATTTATTTTTATTATTAGTATTTGTTTTTCGTATTTGATTTTTATTTCAAATTTGGTAAGGAATTCGGATGTAATGCTTAGGCAAATCTTGTTTAATTTATTTTTCTCCATAACATATCTTTTTTTGAGATTTTTTGATTTTTTGATTTTTTTTTTTTTTTTTTTTTTTTTCCTTCGGTCCGCGTTCGGCCCGAACGACCGAACGCATCCCCAAGGGGTCCCATATGTTCGGGCGTTCGGGTTCGGGCGTTCGGCCCATCCCGAACGCCAATTACCCTGTATATATGAGTCGGTGAAA